AAGTAAGAAATAGTCATTCATTTATTAAAGATATGGATGATGAATATCAATTATATCATGAATCTGGTTCATTCGTTCGTTTTCTTGTTTCATGGTCATCATCTTACAGTTTACTTTCGAAAAGAATAGCTCAATTAGCAAGAGATATAGCTCAAGCAGGATTTTGGAAATCAAAAGAAGTTAATATAATGGATGCATGGCTTGCTGATCTCCATTCAGTTGGTTATTCATTTCCATCAATTATTTCACCATCTTCACCTCTCATAATACAAAAACGAGCAGCTGTATGTGTAACTGGTCTTGCTGAATGTATTCAAGAAGCTTGGATTCCAACTTATACTAATATTCGACAGTGTCTTCATGGTGAACTAGATATATTTCTTTTTCTTTCTTCATCACTTCAACAAGGACCTGTTCCGTTAAATACTCGTTTGAAGCAAGTACGTTCGTATATGAATTCAACTGTAACTATACTCTATGAAGATCGATTTATTGATCCAGGTATTCCTTCGAATTGTCATCCTCGATTTCAACTTCCTCGTCATGCTACCTTCTCTGTTCCGGCTTATTTTCAACAGTTATGGTCACTCAATGAATGTTATGATCTTGTCAAAGACTATGAAAAACGTTTTAATATTCAATATCAATTATTGATTCGTGCTCGTGTTGATACAATAGCTAAAATGCCACTAACATTCGAACGTCAAGGCATATTTAATGTCAATACGACAATACTTGTTCCACCTCATCGTTATTTTTCAGGAATTGACGACGGTTTTGCTTTAGGTCCAATCGAACTAATGTCTCACTATATGAAACGATGGTATAGTTTTCGACAATGTCCGTCTGATAGAAATTTTCATCCAGAGACTTATCTTAAGAAATATTTAGCACGTTTTACGAACATTACAATTGATCTTAACATGAGTGGCGCTGCCGATGCTATACCGCATCATCGTGAACGATGCCATTAAGTAACTTTTGTTTTGTTTTTTTTTTGTTCATTTCGGCTTTCGATTTAAACAAATTTTAACAATATACAATTTCTCTAGATTTCAATATTTCGTAAATTTTAAGATAGAAATACTTAGTACATGCATTATTTCTTCTCATATCTATCTAAGCGACACCAACACGCAACTCATACGTTCTCTGAAAAAAAAATCTTTTTATGCTTTTCTTCCCCAAAGAGTCTTATTTGAGTTTCAAGATTTAAAAAATTCATGACCGATTAACCAAGAAGAACAAGTTGAAAAGAACGTTGGTACGAACAATATTATATGATTTTTCAAAAAGAAAAGAATAAAACATTAATTCGTTATTACAATCACTGATGATCACAGGAACGTGAAAGATTTTGAAAACTATCTATTGAAAACATTTTAAAAACTATTGTTTCATTGTTGTTCTAAAATATTTGCTGCAGTTATTTTTTTCCTTTGGAAAAAATTATTTGAGAATGAGTTCATCGTCAATTAAGATTTAATAAGAAAACTTTATTGAATTAATACACTTTACATGTAATTCTGTAATGTTTCACCTTTACTATCACCTGTACGGTCAATCTCAATATTGATGACATCCAAGTTGATCTTTAACAAAACAAAACTCATATTAACATATTAAAATTGTATTTATTACAGTACCAATAATTTGTAACTGGATAAAATTGAATCAAGTAACTTAATTGATTAAGGTATAAAACGGATTTCATTAATTCATATATACCTATGAATCTTTATTTCTTTGTTTTGGTATAATATGTAATAAAACAAAGTTGAAATTTTCAGTGTTACGCATAAAATTTGTCAAATGTAAAAGGATTTCTTATTATTCCATTACAATTGAAAATAAGTAAAATTAGATTTGGTCATCAAGAAAAATTTAGTTCTTACGGTAATTTTAAAAACTATTATGGACACATTATATCATTTGAAACAATTTTATTGTAGTAAAATTGAATGTTGAAGTATTCTATACTAAACATTTGAGTCTTATATATTAGGATATTTAAACAAGTAGATTCATCGCATCTGACTAACATATATTTCAAAGAGATGAAAGTTAGCTCATTGACTTCATGCATGAGCAAACAACCATTACAGACTTTTCTATTTTTAATAGAACACAAAATTTATAGGAATAATGTTTAATTAATGATTGAATTCATTAAGAATAATTCATTGATTTCTCGATTTCATTTATTTGTATCTTTAATAGCAGCTCGATATCAGTATATTTGAGCTCACCTGAATAATTCCCGTTTGGTAGTTGAATATAGTATTCCATTAGATTTACATCTGGTCATATTCTGATCGATGCATTCTGCGAAGCGAGATAAATAGAATGAAAAATGTTTAGCGAATAACAGTTGAATGTAGAATAAGTTTTCTATGAGACGTAAATATTGAAAGAAAAGTATGAGTGCTAGTCTTCCATTTTATCTTTAATAACTTTTTTTTCATGTGAATATAGATTTGTCTTTTTCTTGAAATTCTGGTGGACAAGTGAAAACATGTTGATGAAATAAAAAATCTGTTAGAGTTCTGTTGTTTCATGTTAGAATTCTATAGATATTGAATAAAATTCATGGCATACTTATTATTGCGTGCTAGAGGAGAATTGCTGAATATCGTCAGGGAATATTTTGTCGACCTTTTTTAGTAGGAGAGATTGTTCTATTTAGTATCTGAAATGAGTAAATAAGGATTGTTGACAAATTCTTACGAATATCTTCTTTCGTCGTCTCCAGACTAGCTATATACGTTTACCGTTACACTCAAAAATGACTGCTTCACATTTTTTAGCATGTTCATAAGCTTCGTGTTTGAACCATTGTTTTCTTCCCTAAGAGTTCAGTACTCTTTGTATTGAGATCCAACATATGAGATTGTGTTGGCGTTTCTTCAAACGTAGGACACCCGTACTATTGACAGAAACTCTAAGCATTGAGCCATATTCCTAACACATTTGTATGTCTTAAATAGCACAGTACGCTTTCTAAGACAAAAAACGGGATCCTTCTTCTGGCTTGAGAGCCATCCTCCAAAATATTCTTGTTGTGCCTTCTTCTCAATCCTCCTTTTTCTCAAATAACTGTTCTCAAGTCCGATTAAATGACCCAATGTTTATTTGGGTCATTTTATTTTGACTCATTTTAGGCTTTTGTTTCCATTCAAGTATTATTGCAATATTAACATGCAGAAAGATACATAGACCGCAGCAGGTAGCTAGAAAAAATCTACAAACTATCATGAATCAGCCAAGAATACGAAAACTTGACCTGTTTGAATCTTTGGTTTGGAATATTTATTAGTGTTTATATTCTAAATAATACTGGTTTATTTCAACGTCAACCCTATAATGATCTTTCTTTAGTCTTCAGCAAAATAGAAATTTTAAAACAAAACTAATCATACAAATCGTATGAATATGATTTTGACAAACAACAATGACGATTGATCTCAACATTCGTATGAGTATATTAAATCATTTTTTTAATCTCTTGTTCTCATGGGGTCGAAATAAAGAACGAAGGACTCTCTCTATTTCAGTCTCTGTTCTAATCTTTGAAGCTCGTTTTCATGTCAATATAATTATTAATCATTCTATTGACTTTGCCTAATATATATACATATCATCTCTCTTCGTAATTATTTGAAAAACAAGAATTTACATGAACACTTAGGTTGAATAAGAATGGGTTTCTTTTTATGCTGAAAAAATACACCGTTAGATTTTTAATCGCGTTTATTGTTCGTATCAGTAAAATAGACTACGAACTTTGTATTTAATACAACAAATATCTGAATATGTTCATTAATTTTTATAAGTTACATTAGATGCTGTTATCCAATTTAGTATCTTCTGTAGTGCACACTAATGTTTTTGATGGTTTGTTTTAAGTCCTCTTGATATACTGAGTATATAATGTAATTTTCCAAACAAAATCTAATCATTTTAACATATGCTCGATGTTATTATTGTTTAAAAGCAACTGTAGCTAAACTGATTATAAAAATTTCATTACCAAATAAAGAAAAAGAAGAATACTAATCTAACAAAAGTTAATATCTTTTAAAAGCGATAATCTATCCAAGTGAAGAGCTTTATTGACTATCTTTATCAATACTACAATATGCCTATCCTCTTTAAAAAATTTTACAATATTATGATCTTTTTCAAAATTTTTATTTGTATTAATTTCATGTGTATTTTATTATTTCAAGTCAAAGTGTACTTTACGTCTAACTAATAAATGAACTATGATCGAACAAAATCTTTAAAACAAATTAACAAATCAGCAATAATTCTATTAGTTGTAAAAACAGTACATAAAATTGATTAAGAACTAATTGAAAAATGTTTATATTTCTATGTTTCAATCGATTAAAATTGTTTTCGCGTACTAATTAATAATCGAACTCATATCATTAGCTATAAGTCATAAATTCTTTATTTCATTGAAATATGTTGCTGTTATGATAGATTTCGTTAATCACTAATTATGAAAGCATTGCTATGACTTTTATGGAATTCACAGCATGTTTTTTGAAGAAAAATATAGTGATTGTAAGT